AAAATTTGCCTTTAAGACTTCTAGACAGGTCTGCAGTTTGTAGCTCAGTGGTAGAGCGCTTGCCTAACACATGTGAGGCACTGGGTTCGATCCTCAGTGCCACATAAAAATAAATAAAGATATTATGTATGTCTACAACTTAAAAAAAAAAAGACTTCTAGACATTAAGAACTACTTTACTGGAGCCTTTAATTATATTTTGGTTTTCTTCTGTTTCTAAAACAATACACTAAGATGCCCAACAACTGTTAGACTATGAATGACTGATTATGCCAGAACAGATGATAAGATGGTTTCTCTTTAAGAAATGGTATACTTTGCTATATGAGCTTCTTTTCCAACACTGCCTTTCCTTAGTCTTGCCAAAGCTTAGCATATGTTTTCTTAAAAAAAAAAAAAAAAAAATCTTCAGCAGGGTCTAATGGCCTTTAGTCCCAGCTCCTAGGGAGACTAAGGTTGGAAGATCAAACCCCAGGCCTGGAGCATGATAGACAAGTGTTCTACCCCAGAGCCGCATCCCTAGCTCAACCCTTAGTATCTCTTAAAGATGAAAATTCTGTCAGATTGTCAACAGAGATATGATGGAGCCATCTCTCATCTCTCAAGATGTGCTGCAGATTGCATAGGTTCTAGCATTACATGGTTAAAGGAGAATTATGGATAAGATGGCATAATGGTCTCTCTTCATCTTAATTTTGGACCCTGAGTATTGATACTCTGTGCCCCAAAATATCACAATTGTTATTTTGTTGCAGTTTTGTTATTTTTTTAATATCTTAAAATCATTCCCTGTGAGAATCCCTCTTTTAATAAATTTTGATATTTGGTTCTACAGGCCTTGTTATCCAGTTTTCTGCTGTTTTAGTCTTTCCTACTAGAGTGGTTTTTAGTTGATACAGATTTCTTTGGTTCAGATCCTTTTCATGTATCATTTTATCCGTAACATTCACTTTTTAATATTACCTTCCCTCCCACCCCAGTAGTAGGGGTTGAGCTCAGGGGTGCAGTTGCAGAGATTATAAGCATGGGCCACTGTCCAGCTAGGTTTTTTTTTGTTGTTGTTGTTGTTGTTGTTGTTGATTTGTGTTTTTAATGAGTGTTTTTTTAACATGAATGAAACACAGGTTCATAGCATCAGATGAGTAAGAAAAATAAAAAAATTCCGCTATCTTACTTTGTTTACTATCTGACAAAATGTGGTGCTCCATAAGCTACATGTATATATTTAGATTTTATACCTGATGTTTTTCATTTGTTGTTTAGGTGTAGCTTGTGTACCATATAATCTTGGACAGTCTATATTTATTATGAGCTTATTAATGCTTTGTCAATTAAGAGTTTTGCTGGGTTCTTTCATTATCAGTTTTTCTTAATCTCTACAAGTTCTTTATGAAGTTGGTGATTACCCATTTTATAACTGAGGAATCTCAGGACTAGAGAAACTAGTAATTTGCTCAAAGTCACATAGCTAGTCAAAGACAGAACTAGGATTTAAACTCAGGTTTATCTAAGCAGTTTCCAGGCTCTTTAATACCTATACTGTACTCTTTAAACTGTGTTCAGAAGGTATTATTACTAGGCACAGGACTGGACAGAAGCAAAATTTTGTTGTTTTAACTGCTAGGTATTCAAGTGTCTTTTTGATGCCCTAAGTTAATCCTTTGTGGCACTTAATTTAAGTGTTACCTCTTCCAAAGGCACTTGAGATGCTAAAGCTACTTTAAGCTATTTAAATTTCTTCTTCAAATCCATATTCTCTATATATCAAACCCTAATTCATTATTACTAGCTTTTAGGAAGGAGCAGTATGATTGGATTAAGTCACATAGTGAAATGATATATATGTTTTTTAAATTTATTTTTTAGGTATAGGTGGACACAACACAATGCCTTTATTTTTATGTGGTGCTGAGAATCGAACCTGGGTCCCGCTGGTGCTAGGCGAGCGCTCTACTGCTGAGCCACAATCCCAGCCCTGATTGATACATTTTTAACTCTTCAATAAGTGCTTGTATTTTAAATAAAACATTTATCCTAGTTAATGTCTTAATTGGCAATATTTTAAGGAACATAATAAAGTGAAGAAAAAAATAGGCAGTTAAGGAAGGCTTTTGAAATAGATCAAATGGTTGACAGGTCAATTTGCCTGAAGATTAGCTTAACAAGTTCCTGATTTTCCTGGTATCATTTCACTTCGATGGCATTGGCATTGGAGTTTAGGTAGGAGGAGGGTGGCAGAAAGGGTGACAGTGACAGTTTTTATGCATTGGTCGTTTTTATTGAATTTTTTATAAACAAATGAATTTCAAAATGAGAGCAAACAGTATTAAATATTATTATAGCAGTGCCATCAGCATGTTCTTTGTGCATTTTTGTGGTGCTTTAGTGCTGTGTGAGCACTTAGACAAGAGCCAAAATAGTATAAATGAGCCAGTCAGTCATCTAAAAGAGTTAAGAATCTGAAGATACTATGAGAAATTGGTTTTAAGAGTGGTGGTAGGAAGATGTTAATGCTTCATCTCTCTGCTAGAACAGATAGCCAGAGTAGTCTACTTTCAGAAATGTTTTAACTTTCAGAAGCTGCTGTGCAGCTAAGTAAATTAAAGTGGCAGAGTACAGTAGTCCCTAAACTTTTTTTTGGTGGGGGGGCGGTACTGGGGATTGAACCAAGTGCTTTACCACTGAGCCACATTCCCAGCTCTTTTATTTTTTATTTGAGACAGGGTCTCACTAAATTGCTTAGGGCCTTGTTAAGTTGCTGAGGCTGGCCTCCTGCCTTGTTAAGTTGCTGAGGCTGGCCTCCTGCCCCAGCCTCCTAGATTGCTGGGATTTGTAGGGGTGTGCTACTACACCAGGCTAGACACTGAACTTTTAGGTTAACATTTAAGAAGTACAACATAGTATAATTGGAGTCGTTGTTAAAAACATTAGGAAAGCACTGAAACAAAGCCTTACATTTTATGAGTAAGGATATGGGAAGCCCATAAATCTTGAGATTGCTTATCAAAATTGTGCTGTCTGCCCCTAAGAATTTGTATTTAATTACCTAACATAGGTTGGCTAATGGGATATTAGAACTCTTTTTTTAAATATTCATTTATTTTTAATTTTAGGTAGACACAATATCTTTATATTTATGTGGTGCTGAGGATTGAACCCAGTGCCTCATGCATGCTAGGCGAGCACTCTACCCTGAACTACAACCCCAGCCCCGGGATATTAGAACTCTTTTTCCTCAGAAAGTTTATGGTTTTGTTTTAAGATTTCTCTTTCCTTCTTCCTTCTCCCTCCTCCATCCCTCCCTACCTTCCCTCCTTTTCCTGGAGATCAAACCCAGGGTCTCAAACAAAGCTAAGCATAATCTCTGCCATTGTGCCCAGATAAGAGATTTCATTTTGTACAGTGTTTTCTGAAGGTGAGAATGTAAATTTGTTCATACTACAACTTGAGAACTTTTGTTTTTGGCCAGTCCAGTGAGTTTTTAGTTTGTAAGATAGAAGAGCTAGCAGAGACAAGAATAGAGATTAAGACACCAAAAGAAGGTATATAACCATTCCTGTACCTACTTTAGGGTGAGGTGAGGAGGTGGGGGAAGGTCCAGAACTTAACAGAAAGCTGGGTATTTTGTATGTTTGTCAGGAAAAATGAGGGGAATGGTTTGACTGATACCACTATCCAAATCATGCAGTTAATGGCTTTGTGAAGTACTACCAAGGGACCTACCTAGTTCAAGTAGACTGTTGTGGCTAGAGGAAACAGAATAGACTTAAGAGCAGAGGGATATAAAATAGGAGAGGTAAATAAAAGTCAGATTTTGTATGCAATTTAAGAGAGATTAACTTTTCTAATTAGCAATGTAGAACTGTTAAAGTAGGGGAGACAATCAAACTTTTAGTTATTTTGTAGTGTAGAAAATATATCAGTGAAGAGTATGACCAAGAGCAGTTAGGTGTAGTAGTTCTTGAAAGGAGGTGTAAGACTGTTCTTGAAATAGATGTTAGACTGTAGCAATGTGCAAAGAGAAGAGGTTGGGTAGGAGTGGTATTAATTAGGTGAAACTTCAAAATTTATTGGTTGACTAATGACACGTTCACATTTAAGGGAGAGAGAAGATAAGAAAGTTTCTCAAATTGAATAATATATGAACACTTTTGAAGGAAAAATCTCCTTGGTTCTGTGTAGCTTAAATTATCACATGTGCCCACATGTAAGAGATCCCAAATATGTGTCTAGTGTTTTTGTTTTTTTTGTTCTCACACAGTAGTCAATACAGAAGACCTCTTTGTGAACAGTATGAGGATTTCTCCTTACCAGCAAGCAATCAGTTTTATAGCTGCCTGCATCAGGCTTGTCTTCTAATTCAGTTCTGACACTTTAAATACCTGGAGACAGTATTAGATCCCACAAGTTGAGGCTCAGTCCCCAAGACTGTCCTGTCTTCTTTTGATGCCAGTTGCAAGCCCAGGTTGTTTTTACCTATCTGCTTTTGACTGACTACATATATGCCCCCCTTTTCTGATTGAATTAATTTGTCCCAGCAGCTGACAGAATGCAAACACTTACCTTTCCCAGTAAAGGATTATTTCAAAGGGTTCAGATAAAGAGATGCATAAGAAGTGGTGTGGGTGTGGAACTTCTAAGCCCTCTCTGTGTACACCACCCTCCAAGTATCTCACTTATTTGGCTATGCAGAATGTCTCTGAACCCTGTCTTCTGTTTTTTTTTTTTTTTTTAAATGGAGACTTCATTACATATGTGTGATTAAGTCCTTGATAAGTGAGGATCATTTTAACTTTCAGTCCTTCCTTCCCTGGAGGTTTGATGGGACTCTCAGTCCTCTATCTCACCTTGATCTTTGGGGTAAGCAGCCCCCATCCTGAAGCTACCTTGGGGCTGCCAGCCATTAGCTAGATCAGTTGCATATCAAAAGACCCTCATCACCAAAGATTCCAAGAACTTTAGAAATTTTATTCCAGAAAAGAGATAGAAGACCAAATATATGTATATATAATTGTTTGTTATTGTTTATTTAAACTTTGGGTTTTTAATCCCAGAAGAAAACAATGGAAGAAAAAGAGATTTGATCTCCTGGGAAGAGTCTCTGGGACTCAAGTCATTCTATTCCTTCTTTTCCTTGAAGATCCTTTAGAGATCCTCCTTTGCAGGATGGGCGAATATATCCTTCTGCAGGTTTGATAGCTATCCAGGAGAAAAATATTCTAATTCTCCAATCCTGTCACATGTCATGTTATGCCACCATTGTTTGAAGAAGGAAGGAGAGCCGAATGTCAAGTCAGGCTGAGGCAGGGGGATCATCCACTCAGGCAACCTAGAGAATCCTTGCCTTTAAACAAGCAAGCAAAAAGAGAGGTTACCACAGCAAATAAAGTAAGGAAAGCAAGCAACATCTCCCACCCCCATTAAAAAAGATTCAAAAGGAAAAGGAAAGACAGTGGAGAGGAAAAGAGCCATTCATCTATCAGCTACAAGGGATTATAGCTAGTTCAAGATATCCCAAATATATTTTTAACAAATTAAATGTATTTCTTCAATTCCCCCCCCCAAAATGATGTTTGTTTTTTTATTTTTGTTTTCTATTCAAGATACTCAACAAAATTTACCGTTTTAAGTATTTTAAGTGTACATTTCAGTGGTATTAAATACATTAACAATGTGAAGTTATCACTACTGTTCATCTCCATAACTATTTCTGTTGTAAAACTAAAACTTAATACCAGTTAAACGAAAAATTTCCATTCTTCATCCCCCTTCCCCTAACCCTTGGCAACTGCCATTCTACTTCTTGTCTCTCTAATTTTGACTACTCTTATGTACCTCACATAAGGAATCAGTATTTGTCTTTGTGCAATTGCTTATTTCACTTAGCATAATGTCCTCAAAGTTCATCTGTGTTGTAGCATGTCAGAATTGTATAGACTGCAGTTTACTTATCCATTCATCTGTCAGTGGACAGTTGGGTTGCTTTCATGTTTTAGCTACTATGAATAATGGTGCTTGAAAGTGGATATACAAGGTGGTGCACTCTTGTAATCCCAGCAGTTTGGCAGGCAGAGGCAGGAGGATGGCAAGTTCAAAGCCAGTCTCCACAATTTAGTGAGGCCCTTGCCGCAGTCGGGCTGCAGCAAAATAACCGGAGTGGGGGTGGGGACGAGCAACTTGTGTACATTGATACAGCAGGAGTGGGAGCCATTTATTGTAGGACAGGAGGGGTATATATACATTCCACACAGCTTATCTTAATTAACATAAACTAGATATAGCAGTCAACCAATAAGGAATCTCCACACTTAATGGCTCGCTGGCGTTACTTCACAAAACAATCCCTCTGGCAAAATGCCAGGTGCCATCTTGACTTGTTTATAAACCCTAACAGGCCCTCAGTAACTTAGCAAGACCTTGTCTCAAAATACAAAATAAAGAGGGCTGGAGATGTGGCTAAGTGGGTAAGCATCCTTGGGTTCAATCCCTGGTATCAAAAAGAAATAAAAATGGTGAGGCTTGGGGGAGAGAAAATACAAATATTTGAGAGATCTTGCTTTTGGTTCTTTTGGGTATATCCCTAAAGATTAAAGTTTTAGACATATGGTAATTTTACTTTAAAATTTTTTTAGGTGCTGACATAGCGTTTTTCATGATGACAGTACCATTTTACAGCCCAACAGTATTACACTAAGTTTCTGGGTTTTGTTTTTTTTTTTACAACCTCCCCCATGCTCTTTGTTTTTTTTGTTAGTAACCATCCTAGTGGGTGTGAGGTGGTACCAAAAAAGGTTTTGGGACAACCTAAGTATGTATATTTCTAAGACTAAAGTGAAATGATTAGATGCTTTTGTGGGGGTAATATGTTATTTATTGATTTAACATTAAATTGCACAGTATTATATAGTGGTGCTTTTTTCCACTCAAGTTTCATGAAATAAATGTATTCTTTTTCTATTTTCATTTACATCTTAGGTTTATGACTGTATCATTTACCTGAAAAGTTGTAGCTATTCAGTATCAACTGACAATTTTTGGAGCATGCTGTTTTTTACTTGTCTTTACATTGTTTGAGATATAACCACTTAAAAATTTGTATGTGATGCTTTTACTGAAAATTTTGTCTTAAGCCTATTTATCCCAAGTGCCCATTTGCTATTTGTTATTTTCATGTAACTATAATGCTTTATGAGTTTAATTTAAAGCATAAATATATTTACAAAATATATGCATATAAATTTAAGTACAAAATTTAAGCTATAGAAAGATTGCCAGTGGTTCTGGCTCCTCTTTCCCCTACGTTACCAGTGCATAAGCAGGGATCCCCCCGGTATCCTGGCCCAGGTTCTTGGTATCCTGAAAAAAGACTTGAGAGAAGTGAGACATTGGCAAGAAAAAGCAAAGGTTTATTGAAAGTGAAATTTCAATAAACTCTGGGCGAGTATAGTGGACCAAGCTACATAGTAGCTCAAGGCCGTATCCTACACAGTGGGGCTTGCTTTTATTAAGCTGTGCTAGTGTGTTAGGTGGGTAGAGGTCCCTAAGGGGTAGTAAGCTCTCTTCTACTTTTTTTATCCCTTACCCATGCCGTGATTCACACCTAACACTGATATATTATGTCTCGAGCTAAAACACTATGAGTAGCTCTCAGTGAATTAGACGTTGATCATGCATAAGCACAAACATAAAGCTAGGTGCTGGGTATGCAAGCACAAGAAAACCATTTCTTGTGTTTAAGAAGCTTCTACTTTGTCAGAGAAACCAGAAAGTAAACCAGCATTTACTGCTTAGCAGTACATCATTGATATACTACAACAGTATAGGGTTGGGAACCAGGAGGTATTTTAGCACATACGTTGACAAGTAACACTTCTGGTGCTTCTCAGCATGGGCCTGAATGGGGAAAGGGCATTCCAAGCATGTAGCTTAAGTTTGACTATAGTAAAATTGTATAGGATAGAGAAAAGAAAGGCAATGCCAGAGAAATAAGCTGAGATCTCATCATAAAGCACTTTCCAGATCATAAAGACTTTGTAATTTATACTCTAAGTGTCAGGAGAGAACCATTAAGGAATTTTAAAACAGGGTGTGTGGCAGGTAGATGATAGAACCATACTTGTTATTTTGGAATACATGTTGGCAGCAAGGTGGAAGATAGAATGATGATCAGTTTGGATCCTGTTGTAATCAAGTATGAAGTGTTAAGGACTTGATCTAAACCCATATTTGTAGTAGTAAATTGAAAATAAATGAGAGGTACAGGAGTAGAGTCAGCACTTCAGTTTCTCACAGCAAGGCTAAAGGGCTGGCAAGAGGCTCAAAATGAAGTGTAATTGGAATTGCAGATAGTAGCTTTAATACAAGCCTTCACCTTGGTGGAATCTGCCCAAATTGAATCATTTTGAATTTTCTTTTTTATAGCTAAATAGGGCACAAGAAGCAAAGTTCAGGACCTTCCAAAGGAAAAGAATTTAAAAGATCACTCCCCTTCATGAAGCTGAGATTTTAATGTTTCACCCATGCTGGGGTGAGGGTGCATTTATAGGGACAGATAGACTAACAAGAGTTGTTGGATGATAACATTTTCCATGTGGTCTTGGAAAGCTTCCAAATCAAGAATATATTTAAAGTGTTTGCGTGTTTAGTAGTACTACCTGTGGGGACTTTGCAAAGTCTATGAAATCCTCTTAGGAGGGATTTCAACCCAGTATTCAAAAATCTTCAGATTAAAATTCCAAGGCACACAAGATCAGTTTAAAAAAAAAATCACAAATCTTGAAGAAACCATGGCACACAGTAAAAACCAGGAGAAACAGAAAGACATTGACCCATAGAGACTGCAGAAATTTTATATTGTGTCTCAATAACAATATTTGTTTGATTAATATGCTTGAAGAAATGAAAGCTTGAATGGAAAAATTAAGGTTTTCTGAAACATGACCAAGTAGATAAGGAAATAGAAATAGAACTTATAAAAGATTAAATTGAATTAAATACATAGATTGGCACAGCTAAAAGAGAGAATGTGAAATGGGAGATAGCTTTTGTAGTTAGTAACCATGAATGCAGCATAGAATGATAAAGAGACAATAACTATGAAAGAAAGGTTGAGTGAAGAGTTCTAATAATTTAATTGGCATTCTAGAAGGAAATATGGTTTGAGGGGTAAGGCAATAGTCAATTAAGTGACTGAATAATTTTTTTTTTGGAGCTTTATCAATACATGTTTATTCTCCTGCTTGCTCCTAAATCGCTCACAGATGACTGAAGAATTTTTAGAATTGATAAAAGATAAGTGGTGGAAATCCACTGAATCCCAAGGAGTATAAATAAAATTAGTCCCAACAAATCAGAGTGAAAGACAGGAAACAGGTCACAGTCACAGAAATCTTAAAAATGGCTATTTCCTTTAGTCTGACAGCTGATTTCCCATTAGGAACAACAGAAGCCAGAGGACATTGGAATGTTGTTTTCAGTGTACTTAGCTGTCAGCTTTGCAATGACATACCTAGTAAAGCCATCTTTCAGGAATGACAGTAAAATAGATATTTTCAGACAAAAACTTAGAAGAGCATTTACTACCAACAGAAAGAAATTCTAAGGGACATGATTCAGATAAAGAAAAATCCCAAATGGAAAATCTGATACTTTATAGTGGCCACAATATATTAAATCAAATGGATGTTCCAAATTACATTCTGTTATCGGATATTTATGTTGTTTCCAATTTTCATTTTTAACTGAAGCTACTCTGGACATATATAGACAAGTTTATGCATATACATTTTCCATAGATTTAATTTTTTTGACTAGATGTCCATATTATATTACTAAGTAAAAAAAGGAGTATTTTTGACCATTAGTACTTGTTGTAGAATTGTTTTCTTAAAGGTTTTCACTAATTTACATTTAATTTTAACAGACTGTGCAGATTTATTTATACATCAGTGTAAGGACCAGTATTAAATGACAGATTCTTATTTCTTATCAGATTTTGATTTAGTTATATATCTTAGACAAAAATGACCCATCTCACTTTTTTCTTGCTTTCATATTAAAAATGCTTTGTAACAAGCAGATGCTAACTAAAATGCATTCCTTTTAACAAAAATATTTCTAACTTTATAGAATGATGTAGTTTTTTATTTTTCTTTATCTTTTTTAAATTTATTAACAAATATATACTTAGGTCATTTAAAGAAATAGCGAAGGAATGCTTTATTTATTTAGTTTTCGATTTAGTATAAAAGATGAGTATTTTAATGCTGCTACATTATTTTCTAGTTCTGTAAATTTCATACTAGCTAGCCAACAATGTAAAAATGAACTTATTTAAAAACGAAAGGATTATTAATTTGCTTGGTAGTTCTGTATTTTAACAGAAGCTGAATGAAAGAAGGTATCTTTAAAGCTTTTTCCCCCCTGTCCTTTTGCTATTTCAGGTGCAAGTGAAAGTGTAGGAAAACATATGCTTGAAGCCTGCAACAATAATCTGGAGATGGCAGTCACTATGTTTTTGGATGGTGGAGGAATCGCTGAAGAGCCCAGTACCAGTTCAGCAAGCGTCTCCACTGTCAGACCACATACAGAGTATGAATTTATTTTTTATTGTTAAGAGCTATCCTTTGCCTAAGTTAACTAGTTGCATTTTTATAAAAGTTAGGTCATTTTCTGGTCTTGAAAAAAAATTAAGGTTGGAAGCCTCATAAAAAGTATAAAGTGAAAATTTTTGTATTTATATACCTTGAATTCTCTTGAGCACTGTCATGTCTGTTTTAAATTCTCTCTCAGTCAGACTTCATGGGCTCCATATGAAGTCCTGGAGGCCAGCAGTGGCATGGTGGAGAGTGAAGCTGCATGATTAGGATTGGCTTGTGGCCAGAGGCAAGGTTTGAATGCCTCACAATAGCCAAAGGGGGAGGAAGAACTTAATAGAACAGCATTATTGCCCACATTGCTAAGCAGCGGCATAGCAATTTTTCTGAGCCACATAGCAGTTAAGCAGCAGATACAGAAATCCAGTAAAGTTCATATTTCCCAATTCTAGATTTTCTCAATTGTCCCAGGAATGTGAGTTGCCATGAAAAATTTTTAAAAACTAATTCTGGTCTGCGGGTATAGTTCAGTGGTAGAGTGTATGCTTAGCATTCATGAGGCCCTAGGTTTAATCCCTAGCACTTAAAAAAAAAAAAAGTTAATTTACTTTGAAAAAAGGACAAATAATTTTGGTTACCTTAAATAGTTATATGTAGTTAATCATTAAAAGCATTCTCAGCTTATTGAGCTATAATAAATATAGAATAGTAATAATGGTGAAGAGATTTGGTGGTTTTGCTCTTTACAATTAATACCATGAGAGTGTGAAATAAATACCTGTTGGGCAGAATTTCAACTGTCTTTGGAAAATATGAGGCCTGAACCTTGCTCAAAGGAAAGGCTTTTTTTTTTTTTTTAAGTTGTAGATGGACACAATATCTTTATTTTATTTATTTCTTTTTATGTGGTGCTGAGGATCAGACCCACTGGCTCTCATGTGCAAGGCAAGAGTTTTTTACCCAGGGCTTTGTCCATGGTAGGCAAGCACTTTACCACTGAGGTACACCTCAACACCCTTTTAAAAATTTTGAGACAGAGTCTCACTAATTTGCCCAGGCTGGCCTTGAATTTGGGATTCTTCGATCACAGTCTCCCTAGTAGCTGGGATTACAGGTTTATGCCACCATTCTTGGTGGAAAGCCATTGATTTTTTTTTTTTTTTGGCTTTGAATTTGCCATCCTCCTGCCTCTGCCTCCCGAGCTGCTGGGCTTATAGGCATATGCCGCCACGTCTGGCGAGTCTTTTTTTTTTTTTTTTAAAGCAAGCAGCAGGTTTATTGCAAAAGTGATAGGGATAGACTTTATTTGAAGAGAAGGGGCCCCAGAGCTGGGAATCCCAAGCCATTGATTTTTGAGACAAAATTTAAAAATCCTCAAGTGAGACTTTAATATTCCTTTTTATAGCATTCATTATATATAAGATTCAAGAAGAATCCTCCTAAATATGAAGAGGCAAAATACTAGTATTTTATTTTTACTAAATTAGAGATAAATGTAAAAACCAGATCATATACAGGCATAATTGCCTCTTTTGTTGAACTAGTTCCATATTAATACAGTATTGTTTTGTTGAACTAGTTCCATATTAATACAGTATTGTTTCCACATGAAGTGTGGGCCTTAGAGATCATTATAATTATAACATTTTTTTTCATGTTAATATTGGCCATTTATTTCAAGTGTGATATTTCATTCTCCTCTACCATGGCTCAGATTTTTAATGGGAATCAATATGAAAACATGATTTAGTTTATAGAAACATGAATAGTAGATGGAGTTGATTTAGGGGCACATATCTGCCCTTCTCATTGTATAAAATGTATTTTTTAAATTGTGCTTTAAAAATAAATACATTTTTTGAGGTTCTGGGCATTGAACCCAGGGGTGCTATACCACTGAATTCTGCATGATGAATTATTAGTATACCCTGTGGAAGTGAACTTTGAAGAGAATTGACTTTCAAAAGAAATGTAATTACATCTTCTGTTTGTGTCTATTTAGTAAGTAACCCAAGATTACTTACTAAGTAGACTAAATATAACCCAAGATTATACCTGTATTAGTCTCCTTTGTAATTTAACATAAAACTCATTGTCGATTTATTTGATCTCACTTTAATATATCCTTGTGATTTAATTATCTGTCATTTTATATAATGTGATAGTACTTCTGTTAAGCCTGTTTTACCATTTTTGGTCTGTTTTGGGGGGTAAATCCTGTCTTTTTTCCTGTAAAAATTTGATGTGGGGAACCTGAGAAGGGGTGGGAAATATTTTTTTATTTTTATATTTGTTCTTTATAAGATATTTATAAGACAGTCTTTATAAGACTGACTCTATGCAAGGTATTTTATTCTAGTTCATCTCTGTGAAAATCAACTAAAACACATTTATCATGATTACTGTGGTTCCTAAAAGTCACTAAGTCTGGGGTTCATTTTACTTAATTTAAATGTATTCACAATAATTAGTTCAAAGGTATTAGAAAACAGTTTTCATTTGATATTTTCCTACTTTTTTAATAGAGAAGAAGTTCGTGCCCCAATTCCTCAAAAGCAGGAAATATTGGTGGAACCAGAACCTTTGTTTGGTGGTAAGTTCAGTTTTTTCCCCTTTAATTGATTTTGTAATTGTCTCTAGGATTTTAATGTAAAAACCAAGAAATATGAAGGCTTGTTCAGGGTGTTACTTAAGTGTTGTAAAAAAAAAAATTATTTTTGGTATCAGGGATTGAACCCAGGGTCTCTTATTATCACCAAGCCACATCTTCAGCCCTTTTTTTAATGTTTCATTTTGAGACAACAAATACATATTATACATGTTAAGAACAGCAATGTAGAGAAATAGTTTGTAAGTTGAGAGCAAGAGACTTATGTAAAGTTTTGTACAATAGACAAAAAGAAATAAGTTGTGAGAAGATGAAGAAAATTATATTAACCAAATCTTTTGACCTGAAAAAGCACTTTAGTTGCGAATTTTTAAAAAATTTTTTATTTTTTTAATTAGTTACACATGACATATCATATATTTGAAGTTGAGAGTTTTTTAAAGATAGACTTTTAACTTGGCAGTCTTTTATAGAGTTTACTATACCAAGAAATAAAAATGCAGTTGTCTTATGTCTACAGAGAGTTGATTTTAGGAGACTCTCCCTCACATCTTCTTCTGTGGATACCAAAATTCATGGTTGCTCAAGTCTCTGAATAAAATGGCTTAATATTTGCATATAATCTATGCATGTCCTCTTTTATACTTTAAATAGTTTCTAATTTACTTATAATATCCCATATAATGTAAATGCTTTGCAAATAGTTGTTGCATTGTTTAGGGAATAGAGACACTAAAGTCTTTATGTGTTCAGTATGGAATCATTTTCTTTTTCTCTCAAATTTTTCTCCCAGTGTTGATCTGCAGACATGAAACTTGCATATATGGATGTGTGTTTATGAATATTTCTAGATTCAGAAATAAGTAAAGTTGGGGGGAAATGTTGAAATCAGAATACTATAATAATCCTTTCTGAACTTATTCAGGTCAGCCAGTCATTGTGCTGTTATTATATCAGATATAATAATATGTTGTTCATATTTTTCCACACAAATGCTATGAACTGATTTTGGAGCTGAAGAATAATGTTCTTAGAAATTTATCTTCTGTTTATTTAAAGGAATAGTCAAGATCTTTGAGTGGGAAAACCGTAGAAAATGAATTTTTGTCTTGCTGTTGAACAGAGGCAAACAGGATTTCATTTAAAACCACACTTTTTTCTTCTTCTTCTAGAATGACATACACTCAGGAGGGAGAGTGACTTTATACAGTTAAAAAGTCAGTCTTGTCATTATTAGGTCTTCTTATAAGTTGACTAGGGTCTTTGCAGAAATGTTTTCTTCTGAGGACAGGTATTGATTTAAAGCACTGTTTTAAAGGGTGATCTGGGAGTTCCTAATGTCCTTTTAGGGGGTCTGCAAAGTTAAAACTATTTTTATAATTATGCTAAGAAGTTGTTTGTCCTTTTCACCAGAGTGACATTTGAATTGATGGTTTAGAAGCAGTGTGGAATGCTGGGTCAGACTGTCAGCATCTTAGTTGATTAGGGCAGTGGCACCAAACTGTATCAGTAGTCAAAGACTTCTTCACAGTCACATGCTCAATTTACAAAATAATTAAAAAGGCAGTTTTTTTTTTTGTACCAGGGATTGAACTTAGGGGCACTTAACCATTGAGCCACATCCCTAGCCCTATTTTATATTTTATTTAGAGACAGGTTATCACTGAGTTGCTTAGTGCCTTGCTTTTGCTGAGGCTGGCTTTGTACTCATGATCCTCCTGTCTCAGCCTTCCGAGCCTCTGGGATTATAGGCATGCACCACCGTGCCCGGCTGTCTTTTGTAATATTCTTGATGAAGCATTAAAAAGGATTATTTTCATTAACTCTTTATTTGTGAATATACATTTTCAAAATACTCTGAAATAGGATGTGTATGTAGAATACACTTTTGCATGCTGAAAGTACTGTGGTTGTCATAATCAGAAATACTTGTACGGTTATTTGAGTTGAAATTAGCAACTTTACGGTTATTTGAGTTGAAATTAGCAACTTTTTGCTGACAGTGTAATTAGATTTGGGGACTTGACAGACATGTTCTTGAAAATAAAGAGTGAGGGCTGAGGATATAGCTCAGTTAATAGAGTTAATAGTGCTTGCCTCTCATGCACAAGGCCCTGGGTTCAATCCTCAACACCACAAGGAAAAAAAAGAAAATGAAGAGTGAACTTGTTACTTCAAGATAACTGATAATACTTAATATCAGTGATCTTTTTTAAAAAAATATTTATTCATTTATGTGGTGCTGAGGATCAAACCCAGTGCCTCACACATGCTAGGCAAGTGCTCTACCACTGAGCTACAGCCACAATCCTATCAGTGATTTTTAAAGAGTTTTCAAGTAAAATCAGAATTTTAGAAAAATTGAATCCACTATTGTAAGCTTAATACCTCCCCAGTACTTAAAGACTTTTTTCTCAAATCAGTAGTAACATTAACAGATTTTTTTAAAAATATTTTTTAGTTGTAACTGGACACAATACCCATATTTATTTATTTTTTATGTGGTGCTAAGAGGATTGAACCTAGTGCCTCATATGTGCCAGACAAGTCCTCTAACCCTAGCCCTTAACAGATGTTTTATTGGTTACTTTGTTGGTTTTTTGATATTGTAATGAAATGGTCCATATTTGGAATGTTTACTTAGGTCAGTGAATA